TAAGGGCATAGTGCTCTGACCTGCGTCCACTTCTATCTGTAACAAGGCTTGAGTATCCCTTTCAACAACACTGTCTATATACAAGGGGTGGAAATACAGTTGCGGTTGTGGAACATCGATACTCTGTACTGTTGGACAGTCGGTGTTGGGCTCTGTGGTGTCTATGGCATGTACAACTTGTGGTCTGTGCTGTTTATCCCTGGTTTTGGCCCTTGGGCGGGAACGGCAAACGGATCTCCAGTGGCCAAACTTGCCACAGGCATCACATTTTGTTCCATATGCTGGGCACGATCTACGGGGTGGATCGTGGAAGGTGCCACAATTTCCACACCTTTCGCCTTGGGTGCCCTGTGCTGGTGGTGTGTTCATGTGTTGCGTGTTTCGGCCATGTTGCAGAGCATCGACTGTGGTGATTTGGCTACCTCTGATGTCCTGTAATTGATTACTCGTGGCTTCCTGGGTTCTTGCGATGCTCACTGCTTTGTTAAGTGTCAGACTGGCATCATACTCGAGGAGTTTTGACTGAACGCGCGGATTGTTCGATCCGAAGATAAGAGTGTCGATAATATGTTCATCGGGGTTTGTGAACTTGCACTCGTTTACTAAAATCCGTACTTTCTTTAGGAATGAATCGACTGATTCGCCAGCTTCCTGCTTCAGGGTGCGGAGTTTGAAGCGTGCAAGCCTGAAGTTGCTTCTTGGTGCCACGAAGTCCTCGAACTTTTCCCAGTATGTGCTGAGTTTTTTCTTTTCGTCGGTTGTTAGCAACCACGTGGAAACCAGTTCGATTCCTTCTTCGCCTGACCATATTAAGAGATAGCTGACTTGCTCTTCCTCGCTTTTATCCTTTAGTGGACCAGCGAAATAAAGCTGACAGAGGCTTTTGAACTTCTTAAGGGCTTGCGGCGCGTCGGTTGAAGACCAGTCCATTCGGGGAATCGGTAGTCCGGCGAGCGCTGCCATGATATCTGCTTGCGACGTAGCATTTCGAGGCGAACGAGTGGAATGAAGAACAAGGACGAACAGTGGGTAAATGTTGAACGAAGACAAGGAACCGACTTGGTTTCTGGATTCGTTATCCTACTTCTGACACCATGTTGTAGTTCAGATAAACAACGCAACAGACATTTTATTCGAACTCCAACATACGAAAGACATGCCTCCTGCGCATGTGCCAATACATTTGTGTTGCGTAAGAAACTATGACACCCGGCTTCCGGCTATTATCTGCATCCCTGAAGAGGCATGACGTACTCAGTACGTCATAAGGCAGTAAAAGGGTTAACTGAAGTCTTAATTTTGTTACAAGGACATACCTTATTTACTATTGTATAGGTCGAACTTGTGTATAAGTCGACCCTCATTTTTTAGTTCAAAAATCGGATTTTTCATTATTTCTAGTCAAAGAAGTAAAATTCAGACAGATAGACATTTCTCAAAAGCTAATCTCATATTTCTAGACATGTATTGAAAACACGGGGAATTAAAAAAACTGCAGAGCAAAATTGTAACCGTGTGCTTTGAAATTTAGTTTATTTATCTTGTTTATATCACCACGATTTAAGCACACACGAACACTTCGATTTATTGGCAAAGTATTTTACCATATTTTGTAAATCACATTGAAAATGAAATCTTGCATTTAACTAAACTTTATCTTAATGCTGAGTTTGATAGTAGATTAAGTAAACCAAAGGAACGCCAAAAAGCTTCGAAGGACTGCATGTAACATGCAAGACCGCTCGAGACAACAGCATTTGCCAAGTTACTTAGCTACTGTAATCATTCAATGAAATCAAAAGTTCAGCACTGTAAACAACAGCAAAGCTGTAAGAAAAACTGTCTGCACTACAGTCCAAAGGCACAGTAGAAATCAGCTTCAGTAGCTTTGTGTTAAGCCACTAAAAATTTATTACTTCAAACTTTTATGTAGATGAAGAATGCACTGAAAAGTGACGAAACTTGAACACAATTTGAACTGGTTTTATAACCTCAGTTTTCCTAACTGACTGAGAGCAACTGTTATGTTAATTTCTTGGATTGCTTGGGTCAGGTCTTTGTGTATGACTCATGTATAAGTCAAGGGTTTTTTGGGCTGATTTTCAGTCATAAAAGGTTGACTTATACACAAGTAAATACAGTAGGCATCACTCAAGTAGAAGTAACAATATACTTAAAGTGAATATTTAACTCACTTTAATACAGTCAGTCATATGCAAGGTCCATATATCAGCTATACAATCTTGTTGCATTTCCTAAAGAAGTTTTCTACTAATGGATTGATGAGCCATGCTTAACAGTGATCCATTTACAAATACTGTATAGGTCAGTGAGTCTGGGGATTCGCCAATCCATCAATGAGTGAGTCCAAGATCCCATTCATTATAAACTAGTGGTAGCAACTGCTAAGTTCCAATGAGAAGTTGTCAATACAGTACATAGTTTGCAAAAGACATATCTAAGAAATAAAGTATGCATTTCAGGACCCAACTGTAATATTTTCATTTCAAACCATCAACAACAACAATTAACAATAGAAAAAATCTCTTAATCTATCTTCAGCCAATAGCTGCAAACCACTCAAAGTGATGGTCCTGATCAATGCTATGTTCTGTATCTTTTCTTGGGTATTTAAAGTGCAAGGAGAATTAAGATTCTGATCTAACAATGGGTATTTGTGGAGAAAAATTCCCTGATAAAACCTGTTGGCTGTCTGTCAGCCAACTGTTTTAAAGTTTCCTCAAAATCTTATAAGCATCTTGATGCTGTTCTCTTTTGAGTGGTTGGCTTGTTGTTTGATTCCATGGTTGTACTAAGACAAGTAATATCAGGTGAACTTAGACTGATATAGTACCAAGTAGTACTAGTATATACACTGAAACACAATCCTACATTTCATGAAAAAATTACACCTTTGGATGTTGGTTTAAAAACCACATGGCAATGCTTCCAGGAAACAGGCAGAAAATATGCATGGTGTGACATATTACATGCCTTACATAACTATGGTGGGGTTATGCATACACTTCCCAAGAGGGTATAGAAGAGCTTGAGAGTAGCCCTCAAGTATACATTACCTAAGAGGGCATAAAAGACATCACAAATAATCCTCAAGTATACACTACCCAAGAGGGCACGAAAAATTGAATTCACACTAATTGATATTAGTAGACTGCTCTTTGTCTGGATTGTTTCCTTTGACCTATACTTAAAGTTGAGGCAGCCAAACTTCAAATCATTCTTTACTAGTTCCCAAATGTTGTTATCAAGCTTGGTTGTTCTTGATTGATATCTTTGCGATTTCCTGTGATCATTCAACTTGAGGCATTTCCTGCCTTAACTGTCTGGTTGAGAGCAATTTAATATACCATATCAACAAAAAGATTATATTTTGAGACACTACAAATCCATCTGCTGGAATTTTGCTGTCCAGTTAGTCTGGAGACAAAATGAACATGCAATGTGGTTTGGTTACCTGGTGTTGAAGGAACAGCCTTTGTTGAGACCTGCTGGCAGGACAATATATTGTAGTCATCAGGGAATAGACAAAGCATTTACTTCTTTGCATAAGGCTTCTGCCTGATTCCACATTAACTTTTTGTTGGCACATACTAGTGCTTTTTGGGGTTGAGACGGGATCCTGCAACACCAGGGAGCTCAGCCAGTTGATCAAAACCTTGAGATCATGCCAAGTGATTCTGATCCAAGATTTATTGTGTTTTTGGTAGTTAAAACTCATATCATACTTGTAACACACTTACATGTAGCTTACCATGATAGTATGAGTGGTTTTTGAAACAAAATGAGCTAGTTACCTTACATGTTCTTCTCTTATGTAATAGTTATGTCTACTGCAAAACATGATGGAAAAAATTATAATCACTAAATAATCAGTTAGTATTTAAAGGTATTGTGGGAGTCTTAAAACATGGCAGCCTTGAAGTGTGGATTTGCTGAGCAAAAGCACTGGATTTACTACAATGATTGGTTTTCATCTCTTCCAAGACATGGTAGTATCTTTCAATTATGCTGGTGATGCTGTGCTGACAGGATTGGTTGTTGTTTCTTCCTGTTCTTTGGGTGATGGAGACTGTGCTCTCTTCCTAGTCTCTCTGCACATGCATGTAACATTGCATGTACCATGACAAATGCGTTTATCAAGATGAATAGTGAGAACTTTTGAAACCTAGAAAGTAAGTGGTAACCTCAATTACTTTAAATTAATATTATGATATCAGGGTTTGCAAATTTTATTGATGAGTAGAGTCAGTGTGACTTCTACCTCCAAATTTTGGAGTAATTTTTTTGATATTTGAAGTCAATATCAATGAAAAAAGCAGTTATTTAATATTCAAAAACAAGTTTCTAACACTATTACACTATCATAGTGTCTACTGGCTTAGTGCATTGTATATTAAATTAATAAGGTAACAAACAACAACATGTGAAAATGCCAAAAACTAGCATTTCTGATGTTCAGAAAATTCAAGATGAATGGTACCTTATCTTCCTCTACATGCTTGCTGCTACCTGTGCACAGAGGTGTCAGCAAAGTCATCTAATTGGGAAGGGCTGTTTACTTCAATGCATGCAAGATGCTTAATAATGGCAATTCTCAGCTGGTTTTGAGTTTGATATTCTGTCAATTTTAGGTGCTGAATGCCCCCTCACAATCTGCATTAGTGACTGGAATATCCAAAGCTACTGCTGCAAGCCTAGCAAAATTAGGATACAGATCTTGATGTTCAGTAATCGGAAGCTTAGAGATTTTTTTGAAGGAAGAGATGCCTTTAGTTTAGTGTTATCAAATTGTGCAGTTGTTCCCATTCAAACCAAGTTGCTTGTTTATCAATAACAGCAGGGACTGGACCATTCCTGCCATTTGTTTTCTTTCCATAGCAGTCCAGCAGCACTTGTAGCCATTGCCAAGGGCATCCAAAATGGTCATAGAATCAGCTGGGAACCTGTCATCAATGTTTTTTATAACTTCTTTAACGAATCTCTGTTTTGTTTGGAAGAATGCTGTATACCCAGCTGCAGTAACTTTTATGGAAAAATCCCTGTACTGAAAGTTAACTCTGCCATCATCTTCAAGTTTTTGTTATCAATTAAGTTGAGGAATTTTGCAAGCCATGCACTGGGTGCCCTCTGCATGTCATTTAAAGTTGATTTGGTTGCTTTGACAAGGGGAAGAATCATGGATAAATCTAGGCTTTGGGCTTGAAATGACTTGCTCAGTTAAGAAATGACTTGGAGGAAATGATGTAAAAGGGCTGTGATTGCAACAAACTCAAATCTTATTTGATTATGCAATCCTTTCCCCTTAGCTGAATGAGCTGGTGAAACTCCATCTGCCTCTCTCAAGGCCTGGTCTTCCAGTGTGAGAACCAACAAGTGCCAGATGCTTCATACTATTTCAACAGAGGCATGGAGACAGCCACCTTGTGTAGATAGGCTCCTGAAGATGTAGTTTAGGTTCCCCCAGGGTTTGTTCCATTTCAATTTATTATATCTGATTGCAGAGTGGGAAAAGTTGTTATAGACTGCCATTATTGAGTCTTTGTAATTGGAAACAGGATTGACAGTTTTAGTAGTAATGGACAAACATAAGGCAAATTTGTGAGCAACACAGTGAACCTGAACTAAAAAAGTGTTAAGCTGCTTTAGTCTTGCACCAACTCTGTTCAGGCACCCCAGTGTAACTGGAGCACCATCAATTCCTAAACCTTGAGCACAGATACCTTCATCCTCCAGAAACTTTACAAGGGCCCATACAAGAATAACATCATTGTGCACGCTAGTACTTCTTGCAAACAAGGTTTGACACTTGCCATTTACCACAGCTCGGAACAAAATTACCAGCTTCTTGTGAATTATGTCAGAGGTTTCATCTAGGAGCACACCAACAAAAGGACTCTCTGGTAATGCTGAAACTTTTTTCCTTGATACAATCAGAAATGATTTCTACCATTTCAGTAACATGGCTGTGGTGCTGATGAGTAATATT